TGGTGGTACCTAAGACCATGCAGTACTACTTAGTGTGGTAGCTAGGACGTTGTAGCTACACATCAATGTAGCTACGATCTTGCAGCTAAAGGTCATTGTTGTAGCTACGACCATGCAGCTACAGGCCTAGGTGATACAAACAAAATCCAGACTACAAACTATCTAGCTACGACAGCTTGTAAATACTGCATTAAGAAATGTAAATAAGGTCCAAACAAACATAATCAAAATTCGGCCAGGCAATGATTGCTTACGTTAGCATCACTACTGTAGTACTACCGGTACAGTAGTACGAAGTACTACGTTCGTACGGAAATGATTGATTGGGCTTTTTTGAGCTTTTTACAAGTGTACCTCGGCCAAATAGGTTATTTCCTGGACTATTGTATAATTCCAAATAGAGAATTTCATTAGGAGCTTGAATTCACTCATTAGAAAGGACTAATTAGAATACCATTGAAGTTATGGGACAAAACTGTCAGGAATGATGATTGATTTTCACTGTGTTTGATTTGTAGTACAATTAATTAATTATCTACATATAAAGGTTTAGATCAAAGTAGGTCGTACAGTAAAAATTTCAGTACCTTTTTAAACGGATAAAAGTTGTACGTAAGTGGTAAATCTAACTATTATTAATGTATGGGGGTAGTACTACGTAAATTTAGTAGTAGTGCATTACAGTATAGTGGTAATACCGTTAACGTTAGAAGACGTAAACTATGAACACACGAGGAGACTGCGCCCAAAGCGTAAGCGGTATACAATTGTTGTTCGCAGTCTTTCTGCGTTGGGGTAGAGATTTTGGGCGATCAAGTTGTTGTCGATGTTGTCTGCGCACAATACTTTAATCAAGTCTAAGTAACCGTCAAAATGCGTCAAAATAATCAATACTACTCTGGACCAAAATAGTTGTTAGGTTCATTTTGACTTGATTAACTGTAAAGTATGAGAGACCAATTTGAAACAGCTTGATATTTGTATGTAACTCCAGAAACACATATGCAAGGTCAAAAATACAATGACATTTTATTGATTTGTCACAACAGCTTGTTCTTGGGAATTCACTTGTGCCTCCATGTCGCTTCCTCGCCCAGTCGATAGTTCAAGTGGATCAAAGCACTCTCGTATGTATAGGCATCGCACTCAATGTTGAAGGACGTGAAGTCTGAGATCAGTGCGTCCTTCTTCATATGAGGGAGCTTATATTCGTTGCTTCCATGTATGTCGATGCATTTCTCCATCACCTTTGGAAGTGTAATGAAAGTTTTTGACACCGTATCCACAGGCAACTCATAAAACGAGGTTTCTACAGCATCAATAAGATCCTCGATAGTTCGAGTGCACTTTTGATACTGCAGGCTTTGTATAGAGTTAAAATATCCTAAGTCTAAAACGTTATAATCTGGGCTATTCGGCGGCTGATTCTTCACTTCAATTCCGTTGATACTTCGCGACTTCAGCATACTTGTTGTCAAGCACTTGTGGGGGCTGGCATTATCTTGTTGGATTATAGCACCAGTCTGCGGTGGGAACTTTGACTGTAGCGCAGGCACAACATTATTTAAAACCATGTCCAAGTATACTTTAGCATCGACTGATTATGGAGTCGTCACTATCGTGCCTTTTGACCGATTTTTACTGTTGCGCCGTGCAGGCACTTTTTCGACAAACGGCCAAACACCGATTTTGCCATCGAAAATAGCGCCGTTTAAGTCAACACGAGGGTGGGCAATGGCCGCCAAGAACATAACTTTTGTTATAAACTGTTTCGACTTCACAAATCGAGCTGCGGCAGTTTTGTCCTTGTACACATAGAATTTTCTATTAACGCTAGTCAAATAGAACCATTTTTCATCAATATGCACATATTCGAGCATATTTGAAAAAATAACTCCCATCTGACAGAGGCTGAAGAAAAGACATGGCAAAACGTAGACGCTCTTGTTGGTTGCTTGGAGTAAGATAGGGCTTGACGTAACTTGATCGCGCCTTCAACCTCGCCTCTTCTCTCATGTGTCGCATAATCGTCGACTTGGGTATATTGCTCATGAAGACCATGGACCTCAGGGTCTGCCGTGACGCCTGGGTACTTGACGAATCGCTGCTTCAATTTCTTCGTTCGTACGCTTTCGCTTGCGTCCAGAATTACCTAAAGCAGTAAAATCTTAAAACTCTACATTCGCAACATTCGATACATATATCACATCACAGAGGTTTACCGCGAATTCTCGACGCGACATCGGCACACATGCATCCTTGTTGGATGGACTGCAGTCCGCGCGACCAAATTCGCGACACAGTTAGCGCGTGGCAACCGAACTGCGCAGCAACACGAACAATGGATCCACGGGGTAGTACGCCTTGCGATGAAACGCCAAGCAGAGTTTCGTACACCGCTTGGCGTTCATCGGAGCGGAGGTGGGTGCTTGCGCTTCGCGGCGCGTCGACGGGACGAGGCTCGACGCAACGAACGTTGGTCGGGTATGCATGCATAGTGAGGGTAGTGTCGTAGAGGGTGCAGTGTTGGAGCGATGAACAATCGTGTAATGATCATGTTTCGAGATGTTTCTACTAGGCTCATTTGACACGCCAACTTTGGCGCCCAATATCTCGACAGCCAAAATGCTCTAGAAAGCTTGTAAACTACCCAATCAAAGCAGCGCTCTTGCGCTTTTTGATACACCAATCCCATCGCTAAACGGGTGATATTTAGAAAAATTCCGCCAATAGAAAAAACTACCTAACAACTATTTTGGACCAGAGTAGTACATGCTTTAATCAAGTTCTACGTAACCGTCAAAGTGCGTCATATTAGGCTATCTCAATATATTCAATGCACTATTTAGACTAAAGTATAGTAATTACAGTAATTCTGGAATATAATCAACAATGGCCTGTGCACACATACTTTAATCAAGTCTAAGTAACCGTCCCAAATGCGTCAAAATAATCAATCCATACTTTAATCAAGTTCAACGTAACCGTCGAAATGCGTCATATTAAGCTATCTCAAGATATTCAATGCACTATTTTGACTACTTTTAGTAATCACACTTCAAATGCAAGTGTGGGGAATGAAATCAACAATTGTCTAATTTGACTGATATTCTGTACAGTACAACTGTACTCTTCCTGAGTTCACTACAGTACATAGTATTGTACGTACAGTAGAATGTACTAGTGTACGTAGTCCGCGGATGTACAGAATGGGATAACTTGCATTTAACCTTGCATTCAAAGAAAGGACTGGTACATCCGATGAGAGCATGATGCCTGTACTTTGTCTAGTACTAGAAGGAGTACTAGAAGGACAAAATTTGATCCCGCATAGAGTAAGCTTACAGTTAATGATTGCTATACGTATACTAGGTTGTACTACAGTACAGTACTTCGTAGTACAGAAGAGTACCTGGTACTGTAAAGGTCGATATTTGGCACTGTATGTACAGTACTACAGTACAGTACAAGGTGCTGATACAGTAATAGTACTACTATTAACAGTTAATAGTACCGTACAACTACTACGTAGTAATACTACTTAGTAGGTATTAATAGTACAGCAAAGAAGTACTATCATGAGTGATTTTCACTGTGTTTCCTCATAATTTTATCAAGCTGCGTAGTATATCTGATATATAGGAGAATTATCCATATCCAAAGGTTTATACAAATGCATTGGCCCATTCGGCGAGATCGTAAACAATCATTGATTTACCGAACGTCTTGCCGTCTTGCCCGATAAGATGCCAGAATTGATATGATTGGAAAAAACTATTACCGCAGCAATCAAACCCTTGGCTAGTTGTATTATTCGGGGAACTTTGTTATGAGTTTCAACCTTATTCAGATGTACGTTAAGCGCATGATACTCATTTACTTTTATACATAGATATTTGTATCGTTGATCGAAGCTTTTCCAATCCTTTAATAAAACCTATATTTCAGCATATCAATGATGACTGTTTGGAGAGGCCATCTTTACAATTTTATTACTGTAATTCCAAACATTTTAATTCCTTTTCATCTAAATCTAACTAAAGAGCTTGGACCAAAGAATACTTATTTGCTTTATTAAATAGGTGTTTGTATCGTTGCTCGAAGCATTTCCAATCCTTTAATAAAATCTATATTCGGCATATCAATGATCACTGTTTGGAGTGGCCATCGCTACAATTTTATTACTTCAATTCCAAACATTTTAATTCCCTTCTTCTAAACCTAACTAAAGAGCTTTGACCAAAGAAAAGGAGGTATCATTCAGCATATGTCATAATAATCTTAAAGATATTTCCAATTGATTATACTGTGCATAGTATACGAACAGTTATGTACATTGTGCATGTTAATCAAGTAAAGGAATATTAAAAATACGTCATAATAATCCTTTAAAATATGTGCAGTTGAATGCTACCAAGTATGCGTACAGTGCATTGAATATGTTATTCAAGTGAAGTAACGTCCGAAATACGCAATAATAATCCTTCAAGATATGTGCAGCTGAATATGCTGTAAGGGGAAGCTCCAAGTAGTTTTCAGAAATAGCATGAGGCAATCAAAATCGATATACCTCTTTTTTTCACGATTTAGGAATAGACGTCAAGGACGTCTTTTTCTACTTTTGGTATAGTGAGTTGCCTGAAAAATTGCAGAAAAGGAGGTAAAAAAAGTAGGAAACTGTACTTGGAACCACTTTTTCATTTGATAAAAACCTACTTGGAACAGGCCCTAACGTTGCATAGTAAACGTTCAGTACTGTTTATTGTACTACCTTCATTTCCAATCGGAGCTAGTATACTTTAATCAATTGAAGTAATATTCAAAACAGGACTACTCTTCCATACAAAATCAATAGAGGGATTTGACGATACTTCAAAAGTAGTGCACACTACGAATCACGGAGTAATTGGACGATTCACAGGGAGACTGCGCCCAAAGCGTAAGCGGTATACAATAAAGTACTACTGTACGCTTCTTGAGTACATGTACTACAGTAGAACTACAGTAGTACTAGTAGTACAGTACTAGTAGATTGTATATGCTAATCAAGTGAAGCACGTAATCCACGCGGATGCACGGAATGGAGTAATTTTCAATAGACCTTGCATTCAAAGGAATGGCTGGTACATCCGATGAGAGCATCATGCTAGTACTCTGTCTTGTACTGGAAGGAGTACTAGAAGGACAAGGTTTGATACCGCATAGAGTACAGTTAATGATTACTATTAATAGTACTGTATGACCATCACCCAGGCTCAAGCGTACGGGTAGTAGCAAGGGATCGCAATTCTACTACTGTAGCTCACAACCAAATAGCCGCAGCCTGCAGCTAGCAATGTAGCAAAGAGAATCGAACGATCCTATTGGCTGGCCTATTTCACTTTTCTATCATATAATTGGACAGAAGTTTGGTAACAGGCAGCCTGCCTTACGAATTCATGAATCAATAAAGATGCGTTTAAAGGAATATATATTATCCCATACAAAGATGAAGCTTAAGTCAAATAAAATTTGACTTAATTCAGAACGATTTATGGAATTCGTAAGGTGGCTCACCTTGCGAGCCTACTAAAACGTACTCGTACTGTTTCAGCTTACGAATTCTGTATTATGTAGTGTTAAGAGGAGAATCAATGTACTGTAGTTCGATAAAATCATGTCGAAATTCGTATATTGTGTTGATGAAAAATGGCAAATTCTCGTTGGCTGGGAATGATTGGCACCATTCACGATGACAGCTCAACCAGTTATCCTCAAGAATACCTTCTAACCATTCCTTTACTCGTAACTCATAATTGATCACTCTTTCATCGCATGTGTACCATTCACCTAATATAGGGTCGGAGTATGACCTGACTATGTTCTGAAGCCGCCTGGACCAACACATTCAAGCGCTCGCAAAGGACGATTACGACGACACCATCAACGACAACTGATACCGTTCCGGGAGCGTTCTACCTCGTGGGCAGTCCTTGTGGACAAGGGCTACATCGGCCTTGAGGCGTCGTCGCGTGCGATTTACCCGAAGTAGACGCCTGTGGGTGGCGCGTTAGACCGATTCGATATGGACAGGAACAAAGAAGTTTCATGTGACCGTGGCGTGATTCCGATCTACTCAGCTATTACTTACCATCGAGTCATTTTGGAAATGACTTGGACATTACTGAATTGCAGTCCTCTTGGGGAAAGGACTGTATTTCTTCAGAAATATCAGAGCAAGTCATCAGTAGCTAAAGCATATTGGATATACACGAGGCTTTCACTGAAACGTCATGCTCTTCCGAAATGTGTGGTGACGAACTGGTTTGGTGACTTAATCGAAATATGATTGGCTTAAGTACTTCGAAATAAGAAAATTGTTATAGCCAATCACACAGGAGGAGCTTCGTTTATTCGCAATTTTGAAACATACCAGATTTTATATTGATCGGTTTGACGGTTCAGGTCAGCCCGTAACTATTGACGCTGCAGCGCAGCGGTCAGGATGGTCGTATTTTTTACAATTTTATATAATGAACCCAAGGTACAACATACAAAATGGCGTATGATGTGAATATGAGAGTGAGCCCACGCTTTGATGTAACAATGCACCATGGATAAACGATCGATCTGACTTTGTTTAGGCGTTGTTACAGAAGCGACGGTCAACAAAGTCGCTTCTATACAACGCCGAACCAAAGTCACGCTTGTCATGAGTCCGCTTTGGTCTCTTCTTGGCAGCATCTCAAGCGTCTCTTACTCGCCCACACTACCATCGTCTCATGAATAAGGCGCAGTGGGCGCGTCCGAGACTCGTGTGGCTTATTACATGGACAAAGAAAATCTCTACAGTGTAGGCAACGGACCAAACTCCATTTATTGAGCGACGTCATTGTTGAATGCCGCACCGAGTTCCTTCACAACGTCATTACCGTAAGACTTCTCGCTTTAGCGAAGCCCGCTACAACCGGAGTCGACATGCACAACGACGAGATGACTGTATGACTGGTCGTCACCGGCGACCAGCCGTCTGTAGTCCCTTCCCAATACAAACCTGTCCTGGCCCTCATGGCCTCTTTAGGGAAAGGCAGGGAACCCACCGACCGTGTAAAGCCGTCGCCGCCAGTGAAGCGGCTTTTGACTATTGTGAAATGACACATCGAATACAGAGAACGACGCTGAGCAACGGCGTGATGAGGACTTGTGATTGGACAGAGAGGCGGTTCGAATTGGCCAATTGAGGATCACAAAACCAAAATATAAAAAAAGTATCGAATGAATAAATGAGCAGTGAATATTAGATTACAAAGGATATAAATATAAAGAGTAATTAGTACAGGAAGACATCGATGCCATGGTTTTCAAGTTTTCATTCTTGCAGGAAACTAATTATCACAAGGGATCAAGGTCATACAAATGCCTATTACACATATTACATTACATCACTGCGACACATGGACTGTGGATTTGCACCCCCCATGGGGACCAACAAAATGTGACATGACCGCTTATA